GCTGGCTTCATCAGGTGGGCGCACGTTGGGTGTATGTTCCTGGGTCACTGCCACATCTGGCCCAGGCTCAGCCCTTGTACCCTTCCCCCCAACACCTTCCTCCTCCAGGATGTGGCCTGCCCTTCCCCTGCTGCCCCCAACAGCTTCTCAGCTACCCCCTTCTCTCTCTGTTCCCCGCCCTTTTCAGCTTGGGCCGGGGCTCACTTGTGTGGGCTTCCCGCCCCACACAGGAATCCTGGTCTGACACATTGCCCTGCAGCTGTCCCTTGTAGAGTGTCCAGTCCCCTCCCCAGGGGCCAACATCCACCCCACACGGGCGCTGGTCAATTCCAGCTCCTCTCGCTGCTGAGCCGCTGCCTGCTAATGCCTTGGGAAGCAGCAGAAGACGGCCGAGTGCTGGAGTCCTGCACCCACGAAGGAAAGCAGGCTGGGGCTCCTGGCTCTTGGCCTCATCCTGGCCTAATCCTGGTTGTTCTGGCCATCAGATGGAAGGTGTGTGTGTGAGAGAGAGATGCTCTTTTACATAAATAAATAAGCAAATGTTAAAAACACAAGGAACCTTTCGTGGCCCCCTCTTTGTCTCATGCCGTCACCAGAGACCCCGTTGCCTTAAGTTTCAACACTGGTGTCCTGAGTGGCTGGTCTTGCACCTGCAGCTGCCCAGGCCCCTGGGACCTCTGTCCCACTGGATGAGCCTCTAGGAGCTGCTCTCTGCCAATGGGGCCAGGGAGACAGGAGGGGCCTGCAGTCCCTGCCCGCTGCTGCCCCGGTTCTCAGGGCTTGGCAGGAAGGAGGGTGGGGAACAGTTGTTGCCATGAACCTCTTTTTAAAAAACAGATTTATTTATTTTTATTGGAAAGTCAGATATACAGAGAGGAAGATCTTCCATCTGCTGAGTTGCTTCCCAAGTGGCAGCAATGGCCAGAGCTGAGCCAATCTGAGGCCAGGAGCCTCCGCCAGGCCTCCCAGGGGGGTGCAGTCCCAAGGTTTTTGGTCATCCTCTACTGCTTCCCAGACCACAGGCTGGAAGCTGGATGGGAAGCAGGGTTGCCAGGACAGAACCAACGCCCATGTGGGATGCTAGTGCAGCATCTGAAGGCTTAGCTTGCTATGTCACCATGCCAGCCCCAGCTGACTTTAGTTTTTAAATACTTATTTGAAAGGCAGAGTTCTCGCACCTGCTGTTTCACTCCCCACAGAGGGGAGGACGAAGTCGGGATCCTGGAATGGCACCTGGAGCACCTGGGGGTGGCCAGGGCCAGCATTGGGGTGTTTACTGCTGCAATCCTGGATATGCAGGCATGGCTGGGCCATGCACCGCAGCTGGGTGCATGCACGGAGAGCCACCCTGCCGGCCCTGAAGGCTGTTTCTTTTTTTTCTTTTTTAAAGATTTATTTATTTATTGGAAAGTCAGATATACAGAGAGGAGGAGAGACAGAGAAAGATCTTCCGTCCGATGATTCACTCCCCAAATGAGCGCAATGGCTGATGCTGTGCTGATCCGAAGCCAGGAGCCAGGAACTTCTTCCAGGTCTCCCACGTGGGTGCAGGGTCCCAAGGCTTTGGGCTGTCCTTGACTGCTTTCCCAGGCCACAAGCAGGGAGCTGGACGGGAAGTGGGGCTGCCGGGATACCAATCGGCGCCCAGATGGAGTCCTGGGCATCAAAGCGAGGACTTTAGCTGCAGCCTAAAGACACTTACTGGTTATTGTCTGTAATTGCATCTTGATGTACCCCCATCCTACAAACACACTTTGAACATCACCGGTGCCAGGCTCAGGGGTTTGTCCGAGGTGCATCTGCTACACGGAGTAAGAGAAGCAGATCATGAGTGTGTTGGCCAGGAATTGGCCAAGTCAACAAGTGATTCTAGGGAGCCATGTGAGGGGCAGTGAGTTTACAGTGGGGGTGGGCGCGGGAAGCAGGTGCAATCTGCCCCAGGCTCCTGTGTTGGAAGTGAGGCCAGCCCGTGCGTGCCCTCTGCCATGGTGGTGATGTTTAAGGAGGGTTGACCTGTGGGGGTGCTGTCCAGGACCTGCCAGCATTCCCCCCTCCCCCGTGATGGCACTGCGAGTGTCTGTAGAGCTGAGAGCTGCATGTCGGGCAGGTCTCGCAGAAGCTGACCTGACTCTCAGCAACAAGTGCCTGGCCTGTCAGGGTCTGCCTGGCCTCGCAGGGTCTGCCTGCCCTGTCAGGCTCCGGCCCACCTGGCTGGTGGGCAAGCAACCTTTCATCTGCCACAGGCCATTGGCACGCTTGCAACATCACTTGCAGGTCCTACAGGAACTCAGTTAATAATTAGCCCGCTGTAGGCCACTGAGCCTTGTGTCCTGCTGGCCCCAGGGAGGGCGCGTCCTGCCCGGGCTCCCTGGGCGGACAGGCTGCTTCCTCGCCCTGTCAGGTCCACAAGGACCTCGGCTGTGACCCTGCGCAGGACCAGGGCCATTCCAGCTGTCATCACCTAAGAGGATCCCGTGCCCAGGCCTGGCGTCTGCCCGAGATGACACGCTTGGCCAGATGGACGCTGGGGTGTCGCTGCTCCTGTGGATCCGCCGGAGGGGTGAGGAGCAGCCCTCCCCAGGCCTCAGTCCTGGCCAAGTGTGTGTTCATGATGGGGTAACGGGCTGTCATGTGCCTCCCCCGCCCCCGCCAGGCACTTACACAGTTGGCCAGGTGCTCTGCTCCCAGTCTTCAAAGCTGAGGGAGGGGCAGGCCAGGCTGGCGGGGACAGCCAGGGAGTGGGACCCTAGGGACTTGTCAGGCCTCCAGTCCCCCCCCCCCCAGTTTCACCGTTTTCGTTTTCCTTTTTTTCCCACGGTTTATTTTTGTTGGAAAGTGAGATATACAGATAGGAGGAGAGGCAGAGAGGAAGATCTTCCATCCGTTGATTCACTCCCCAAGTGGCCAGAGCTGAGCTGATCTGAAGCCGGGAGCCAGGAGCTTCCTCCGGGTCTCCCACGTGGGTGCAGGGTCCCAAGGCTTTGGGCCGTCCTCGACTGCTTTCCCAGGCCACAGGCAGGGAGCTGGATGGGAAGTGGGATTGCTGGGATTAGAACTGGGGCCCATATGGGATTATGGTGCATACAAAGTGAGGACTTTAGCTGCAAGCCTACAGTGCTAGGTCCTTTTTCATTTTCTTACGGTGGAGGCTTTCAGACAACAAAAACATTGTGCTTGATACAGCACAGCACGGAAAGGTTAAGCAAAAATTAAAAATGCCATTTTATTTGAGGAGCAGGGAGAGGGTCTCCCACTTGCCCAGGTATTCCCAACAGCTAGGGTTGGACCTCGGGGTGGGGGACCTCCTGAGCCAGGGACGCCGGCCAGCAGCTGCTGCCTCCCAGTGGGCACACGAGGAAGGGTCCCACAGTAAAAGCTTTCCTTGTTAACATGGTGTCATGTACAGACCCAGAACAATTGCCCCTTTCCAGCTGTGGACAAGCAAAGCTGCTGAAACAGGAGGAAATGAGGCCAGGTCCCTAGAGCCCTCAAGGCCAACAGGTGGACAGCGTCCACCTCTGCTCTGTGCATTTGGTAATCCTCCAATCCTAGGTGTGATTGAGTAGGCCACCCAGCTTCCTGCAACCACTGGGCAGGGGGCGCTTCCAGGGGTGCTGGGAGTGGCCAAGGGAGGCTGACCCAGGGGTGCTGGGAGTGGCCAAGGGAGGCCACACTAGGGTGAGAGGCTCCGGTAGGGCCTGATGATGCCCTCAAGGATCCCAAGTGTCAGGACCACAGACGAGGCTCCGTGGGGTTTGCAGGGGGACCTTGGAACCAGCAGGCCATCACTCAGGGGCTGGCTGGCTCTGCTTTAAAATCTCAGGTGTTCATTCTCTGAAAGGTGGAGTGACAGTCTTCCCGCTGCCCGTCACCTCCCACCCATCCGGTCTCCCGGGGCTTGGGCTGTCTGTCACAGCCTTTGCTTCAGTGCGGCCTGCGGGGAGACCCAGCACAGCGCAGCACTCCCTGCCTCCCTCGTCCAATTCCAGATTCTTTCACTGGCTGGGACACTCGGGCCCCCACCCTGGCAGAGTTCTAGAGGCTCCGTGCCCGCGGGCGCCTGGTCACCGGCTCACAGCCATCCAGGCACTGCCGCTGGTGCCCCCCTCCTCCAGGCGGCAAGGGATCGGGCACAGCCCCCAGGGATGCGGGGCCTGTATTTGAGCACCAAGCTGCCTCTGATTTTATGAGACCAAACACCCCTTTCCTTGGAGGGCCGGGTGCTCGGTGCTCCCGGCGGAGGCCGGCCTGGCCCTGGGTGCTCCTCTGGGCTTCCCCCATGGACAAGTGAGAAGACCACTGCAGGCGCCCAGAACACCAGCTCCTGGCTAAACAATGCCAACAGGGCACTGGAAGCGTCCCGCGGCGGCAGACGCGACTGCAGACACGCCGCCCCTCCCCGCAAGCGAGCCGGTGGAGACCACCCCGCACGGGATGCCGGCGCGCGCCCTCCCCGCGCCCCCGGCCGGTCACTGCGCTCGGCCAGCCTCGCGGCCGCAGGCCACGCCACGCGCACGGGGACGGCCCCCGGTCGCTCTCCGCGGCGCCCGGCAGCCCCAGGCTCCATCCGGCCTCAGCCGCCGCTCCTGTCAGCCTCGGCCGCAGCCATTTTGGAGGCGCGGAGACAAAGAGGGAGGCCGGCGGCGGCGGGCGCCCCGGGGCCCGCGCCCCCCAGCCCGGGGCCCGCGCCCCGCCCGGCCGCGCGGCACCCCGCCACCCCGGCCGCCCGGGCCGCCCCCCGCCCGGCAGCCCGCCGCCGGCCTCCGCCGCGCCCGGCCGCCCGCCCGCGTCCCGGCCTCTAGCGCTCGCAGCCATTGGCCGCGCCTTTTAAGCGCGCGCCGCGGCCAATCCGGGGCGGCCGGGAGCCCCCGCGGGGGCGGGCGCGCCTGCGCAGCCGCCGGCCTCGCCCCCCGCGCCGCCCCGCGCCCGCCCCGCGCCGCCCCCCTCGGAACCTCCTCCCCGCCCAGGCGCGCTCGGCCGAGCGGCGGCGGCGGCGGCGGCCGAGGAGGAAAGATGGCGGCGGGCTCGGATCTGCTGGACGAGGTCTTCTTCAACAGCGAGGTGGACGAGAAAGTGGTGAGCGACCTGGTGGGCTCGCTCGAGTCGCAGCTGGCGGCCAGCGCGGCCCACCACCACCACCTCGCGCCGCGCACGCCCGAGGTGCGGGCCGCGGCCGCCGGCGCGCTCGGGAACCATGTTGTGAGCGGCAGCCCGGCCGGAGCCGCGGGCACTGGCGCGGCCGCCCCCGCCGAGGGCGCGCCCGGAGCGCCGCCGGAGCCGCCCCCCGCAGGTAGAGCGCGGCCGGGGGGCGGGGGGCCGCGGCGCGAGGGCCCCGGCTCACCGCGCCGCCCGCTTGCTCCCGCAGGGCCCGCAGCGGCGCCCGCCGCGAAGCTGAGGCCGCCGCCCGAGGCCAGCGCGGGGCCCTGCGCCCCGGTCCCCGCCGCCGCCGCCGCCGCCAGCGCGGGGCCGGAGCCCGCCGCCGCCGCCGCCGCCGCCGGCCCCGCCAAGCCCGCCGGCCCCGCCGCGCCGGCCGCCCGCACCGGCCCCGGGCCCGCCAAGCCCGCCGGCCCCGCCGCGCAAACTTTGAATGGGGGCGCCGCGCTCCTGAACTCGCACCACGCCGCACCTGCTGTCAGCCTGGTCAACAACGGGCCCGCGCCGCCGCCGCCCCCCAAGCCCGCGCCCGGCACTGTCATCCAGACGCCCCCTTTCTTGGGCGCCCCCGCCGCAGCCGCCGCCGCGCCCCCCGCGCCCGCCCCCGCCGCGCCCTCGCCCCCCGCCGGCCCCGCGCCCGCCGCCGCCGCCCCGCCCCCGCCGCCGCCCGCGCCGGCCACCCTGGCCCGGCCGCCCGGCCACCCGGCTGGACCCGCGCCCGCCGCGCCGCCCCCCGCCGCCGCCGCCGCCGCGCAGAACGGGGGCAGCGCCGGGGCCGCCCCCGCCCCGGCCGCCGGGGGCCCCGCGGGGGGCAGCGGCCAGCCCGGGCCCGGCGTGCCCGGCGCGGCGCCCGTGCAGGGGGTCAAGGCCGAGTCGCCCAAGACGGTGGTGGCGGCGGCGACGGCGGCTGCGGCGCCCCCCCCGCAGACCCTGGCGGCCGGCGGCGCGGCCGGCTCCACGGCCGGCATGATCCTCGGGCCAACTATGCAAGGGGCGCTGCCCGGCCCGGCGCCCGGGACCCCCACGGGGCTGCCCAAAGGCGCGGCCGGCGCCGTGCCCCAGAACCTGCCCCGGACGCCCACGGCCCCCGCCGCCGGGATCCGCGCCGCGCTGACGCCCACCGTGCTGGCCCCGCGCCTGCCGCAGCCGCCTCAGAACCCCACCAACATTCAGAACTTCCAGCTGCCCCCAGGTGAGTGGACGCCGGGCGCAGGGCGGGCGCAGGGCGGGCTGCCGGGCGCGCTGCTTCCAGGAAGTTCCGCCGCGCCGGCTGACGCGCTAAGGTCATCTGTCCCGCAGGGCCCCCGGGCTGCCGCGGGCCCTGTGCCCAAGCCCGACCCGGGCCGCTTGGCTTCTGCCTCCGGGTTCTGGTGTCTGCGTTTTCCGACTGGCTGGGCCGGGCCCTCCTGGCCTGCGGGGTCGTGTCGGTTCACCGCTGTTGGCGACGCACCAGCGGCGGGCTCCCCGGGGCGGCCATGGGGCTCCCGGGAGCTGGGGATCGCCCGGGCTCCCCTACGTCTGCAGCGGGGGGTGTCCCTCCGGGCCCCCCCTTCCGGGGCCTTGCCTGCTCTCCTGCGGGCTGGCAGGCCGGCTGGCAGCCCCCTCCCCCAGGTGAGGTCAGGGCGGGGTGACGTGGCTTCCCGCCTGGCCCCGGACAGGCAGAGCGCCCGGAGCCCTGGCGTGGGCAGCAGCTGTGTGTGTGTGGAGGGGGGCGCTCTCGGTGGCACTGGGGATGCGCGTACGCTCCGTCCTCAGCTGCCGTGGCTCGGAGTTCTAAGGGCTCCTCAGGATTGCCCAGGAGAGCTTGGTGCCCGCCTTGGCCATCACCCCCACCTCCCTGGCTGGCACCCCAGCGTGGAGAGCCCCTCCTCAGCTCTGGCGTGTCCTCCTGCTGGGTGCAGAGGGCCGGCAGTGGGTCGCTGAGCCCAGGAGGGGCAGGCAAAGGGCAAGCCGGGGAGGGAGGGGTGATGCTGGGGTGGGGCTGGGGGCAGGTTCCCCACAGTACGAGTTGGGCCGCCCTGCCCGCTCCGTCTGCCCTCACATGTCTGTCGGTGTTTCAGTAGGCGGCCAGTGTGCCCTGTCCGGGCTCGTGGGCTTCAGCAGGTGCCTGCCCTGTGGGAGGAGGAAGCCCCCCGCTGCCTGGCTGTGAGGGCCAGGGAGCCTGTGTCTGCGCCTGTGTCCACTGCTGGCGCGCCACCTGAGGCCCCAAGGGGCCTCTGCTGGCGGAGACACCTCCTGCCTCGTCCCTGCTTCGGGGAGCTTGGGGTCACCAGGTTTGATCCAGAGGCTTGACTCGGGCGCGCGGTGGGCTGGTGCGGTGGGCGGGGTGTACCTGGGCCGGGCGCAGGAGGTGATGCCCTGGTGGACGTGACGTGATGAGAGGCCGTGGTTAGTCTCCCGCGTGTCATTGCTCATGAGAAAGTGGCAGGTTCTTTCCGGTCTTGTGTGTCAAGTGTCTGTGGACCCTTTCGTGGCGAGAAGGAGCCCGAGGGGGAGCCCTGTGCGGAGCTCTGGCTGGCTGATAGCTTGTTGCTGTCACGACCCAGCAGGCAGGGGTTGCCAAGCTGCGCGAGGTGGCAAGTGCAGTTGCAGGTCCTTGGGGTGGGCGTGAAAGGACACTCCCCTCCGTGGGGCCCTGCCGTCGCCAGCACAGAGGGTCTCCGTCCAGGCCGGGGTGCTGCTGGGGTCTGCTCTGAAGGGCTGTGACCTGAGCTGTGTCGTGGGAAGGATGCAGACCCCAGGGAGTGGGGGTTGTCTGCATGGGAGGCGCCGGCAGCTGTTCAGAAATCACAGCGGCTTAGGACACCGTGCTGTCAGAGGGTCTTCAGGACCGCGCTTGGGCGAGAGACGCGGCAGTGAGGCAGTGCCCTTCCCGGTAGGTGCCCCTGCTCCTTGCTGAAGGTCTTCCTTCGGGGTGATATGCTGGTCTTCTCCGCATAGCCCCCCGTTTCCTGTTACCCGCCTTTCCATTTTGCCCCAGCGTGGGTTCCTAATCATGGTTGGAAAGTGTCTCTTCCCTCTGGCCTGGAGACCAGGGGAGGGGGGACAGGAGTGTCTGTGGGCCCCCAGGTGGAGCCGGGTGCAGACAGGGTCTCTGGTAAAGGTGGGGGTGCAGAACTGGGGGCTCCCCGGCCAGGCTGAGGTTACGGGAGCTGGAGATGCGGGTGGCTGCTCGGAGAGACCCCACGGGTGGGGCCTGGGCAGGGCATGTCGATGGTCGGGTCTGTTTCCTGGGCTGGGAAGTGGGGTTGATGTTTGAGGAAAGGGTATGGGATCTGTCGGAATAGCCTCCCTTCACACGGGGTCCTGGGCTTGTCACATTGTCACACAAGGTCTTGTAAGGAGGACTTCAGTGAGCCCAGAGCCACACCCAGATTGCACAGGTTCTGAGAATCGGGGCATGCCGTCGGGGCTGAGAGCTATGGCTGCTTGTGTGGACCGGGCCTGGCTGGGAGCTTGGCTTGTGGCCCCAGCTTGCAGCCGGGGTGTTGGCCTGCTTAGGTAGCAGTGATGTTTGTAGCGAACCAAGAACAGTGTTTTGGGAGGGGTGACCAAGGGCAGCCCAGGGCCTGCCCGACCCCAGGGTTGCCCCTCCCTGCTGGGGCGTCCTCCTGGCTGTGCCCGCAGTGAGGCTGGGGCCTGGGAGCTGCCCTGTAACTGGGCGTCCTCCTGGCTGTGCCCGCAGTGAGGCTGGGGCCTGGGAGCTGCCCTGTAACTGGGTGTCCTCCTGGCTGTGCCTGCAATGAGGCTGGGGGCCTGGGAGCTGCCTGTAGCTGGGGTCTGTGGACAGCACGTGTCTGCAGACTCAGGGAGGTGCATGGTACAGGTGTGACCGCGTCCGGGACTGCGGCCCTGTTGGGGTCACCCTCTCCCTGCTGGCACTGGCACTGTGTCCATGTGTGGGGTGGACAGCTGACTTCCTCTGTGTCCTGTCGTCCACGCGTGCAGGTCGAGTCCTGCTTGTGCAGCCCCACAAGGAAGCTGCTTGGCTACAGCATCTGTCTTCTTGGGTGTTGAAGCTGCAGAACATGGGCTCTTTTCTGGGTGGATGGTGAAGGCCCTGGTGCCAACGTCACCCATAGCGCTGGGTCCTTCCGGGGCACGAGGTGGGTTAGAGCGGCCTCCACTGCCCGGAGCCTGCCTTGGGCTGGCTGCCCCAGGGGTGGCCGTTGGCGACAGGCTTCAGGGGAGGCTGGCTGTGGGAATGAGCGGGCAGCTCCCTTTGTGCTTGTGGAGCTGTCAGAACCTGGCCTTGACTGTGGGGCAGGAGGCTGCCGGACATGGCGCTGTGGAAGGAGGTGAAGGCTGGCCAGGACTGTGAAGTTGGGGCTGGAGGTGGGAGCTCTGGCCCCCTCGCAGGGCCTGCTGTGTCCTGCTTCTGAAGGTCTGCTGCAGGGTTGAAATGGTCAAAAACAGGAGACAAAAACCAAATACAGGTTTCTCTGTCACCTCTATTTGAAGATGTGTAAACCCATGACCCTGTGTATGTGTGTGTCTGATCCTGTGTGTGTGTGTGTGTCTGGGGTCGTGGGTGTGTGGATCTGGGGTCATGTATGTGTGTAGATCTGGGGTCGTGTGTGTGTGTGTGTGGGGTCGTGTGTGTGTGTCTGGGGTTGTGGGTGTGTGTCTGGGGTTGTGGGTGTGTGTGTGTGTGTATCTGGGGTCGTGTATATCTGGACACGTGTGTGTGTGTGTGTGTGTAGATCTGGGGTCGTGTGTGTGTGTCTGGGGTCGTGGGTGTGTATCTGGGGTCGTGTATATCTGGACACGTGTGTGTGTGTGTGTAGATCTGGGGTCGTGTGTGTGTGGGGGGGGTCGTGTGTGTGTGTCTGGGGTCGTGGGTGTGTGTCTGGGGTCGTGTGTGTGTGTGTGTGTTTATCTGGGGTCGTTTATATCTGGACACGTGTGTGTGTGTGTGTGTGCAGATCTGGGGTCGTGTGTGTGTGTCTGGAATTGTGTGTGTATGTGTATCTGGGGGTGTGTGTGTGTGTGTTTATCTGGGGTCGTGTGTGCGTTTGATCTGGGGTCGTGTGTGTGTGTATGCACATGGTGTTGGTTGGTGTCTGTTTGGTGTCTGGAATAGCCACTGTGTGCCTTTCCTGTGGCCCTGTCGGCTGCACGCCAGGCCCCGGGTGAGCGCTGTGCTGTGTGATGGTCTGGTCTCTGCCTGTGTGTGGTGGCCCAGTGGGTGCTGAAGGTGAGGCTGATTCTGGCTGCCCAGGTGGCCCGTGGCTCCTAGGTAGCTGCTTTTCTGCCACCAGGTGCCCTCACGTGGCTTGCTCTCTGCTCTGGGCCGCTGTCCTCCAAATGGTCCTACCCTCCAGGGTCCCACCCAGCTCTCAGGGCTGGCAGCTTGGCTTTGCTGGGGCTGTCCTGCTCTTGGGGTGCTGTCCTCCCCTTGGGATCATGGGGGTGTGACTTCTGCCCTCGCTGGGCTGTGGAGGTGTCCTGCCAGCTGAGCACCTGCCCGCTTGGCATCCCCAGCGTCAGATGTGGGCTCCGTGGCCCAGAAGCATGGAGAGTGAGTCAGGGTGTCCTGGAGGTGGTGTGGCTTAATTGCTTGCGTGCCTTTGGCTCGAGGATGGACGCGGAGGCCAGGTCTGCCCCCTGTGTGGCTTGCTTTATTTTTGTGGCTGTCAAATTCCCTCAGTACCTGCTGAATGTCCTGGCCAAGGAGCAGGACCTCAGCCGTGTCCCGGGGCCCCTACTCACTGCCCACCTCGTGTGTCCGTCCTGGCCCCCGCCTATACCTGCTGCTGCCCCGGCCGGGGACCAAAGGGAGTTTCTTCTTCTTTTCTTTACTTTTTTTTCCCCTAAGATTCATTTATTTTTATTGGAAAGGTAGATAGGAAGACCTTCCGTCCGATGATTGACTCCTCAAGTGGCTGCAATGGCTGGAGCTGAGCTGATCCAGAGCCAGGAGCTTCTTCCAGGTCTCCCGCTCGGATGCAGGGTCCCAAGGCCTTGGGCTGTCCTCCACTGCTTTCCCAGGCCACTAGCAGGGAGCTGGATGGGAAGTGGAGCTGCCAGGATTAGAACTGGCACCCATATGGGAAACCTGGGGTGTTCAAGGCAAGGGCTTTAGTGCCAGGTGCCAAGGAGGGTTTCTAAGGCTTTGTTTGAGTTTAGGCTGACTGTGGTGAGGGGCGTGGGAGCTGCAGTGACCTCTGGGTGCGACCGTAGCCTCAGGGG